TTCGGCGGCGAGGAGGCGATCCCGGACGTCCTGCGTCGTGGTGCTGCAGCGGCCACCGCGGCTGTCCCGTCATCGTCATCGTCCGCGTGCACTCTGCGGCCTGCCTGCGCACTGCTGCACTGCTGCGCACTCTCACCTCGGCGTCGTGGTCGTGAATGGAGCGGTGACACGCGATTCCTACAGTACCTGCAGTCTGATTCCGAACGCTGCCTTGTCGCTCTGTCTCTGTCGCACAAACGGGACGCCCCGTGGGTGCGACAGAGACAGAGCGACGAGGCGTCGCAGGCCGTGATCGTCGTGATGTGCATGCGTCCCTCCGGCCTCCGCCCGTAAAGCGTAGAGCTAGCGGGAGGGTGTCGTTGTCTCGCTTCACGCAATCGCCGCGCGAGGGCGCTGCGCACTCGCGACTCTGCCGGCGGACTGATTCCGAAAGTCGTTTTCGTCGCTCTGTCTCTCCCGCACCTAAAAGGAACACGCCATGATTGCGAGAGAGAGGCTCTCGGAACCAGTCTGCTGCGAATGCGGATGGCGCGGATGGCACCGAAGGCCAAGCCGAAGGCCCTGCACGGCAGGGCGATCCACTTAGCGTGATGTGAGTCGTGACAATTTGGCGGCTGGCCCTCCGGGGAGCTGCTGCGTCCGGGCCATCCGTCCGGGCCACCAGGGCCCACCAGGGCCCACCAGGGCCCACCAGGGCCCACAAGGGCCCAAAACACTGAAATTGAAACGGCCCGCCCACCGCGCCGCGACGCGACGCCGCGACGCCGTGACGCACGTCGCGTGCAGCGCGCCGCCCGAGAGCCGCCCGTGAGCGCAGCGTGGCGGCAGGGCAGCGCGGTGGCGGCGAGGCAGCGAGGCACACAGGGGCATAAATTAGCGAAATGATGTTCTTTACTGTCTTCGCGGTTAGGCCGTGAGGCACCAGGGCCGGGAGGGCCAGGACGGCCAGGGACCCCGAGGGGACGGCCGGCCAGGCCGGGCGAGGCGGCAGGCAGGCGGCAGGCAGGCGGCCCGGGAAAAATACTCCCGAGGCTCTCCGCCGTCCGCAGGTCCGCAGTTCCGCAAGTGGGCCACCTACAAGAAAGCCCTTGCCGTGGTCAGAGGAGAGAAGTTGTTTCTTTTGCGAAACCGAACGAGACGGCGCGGCAGGGCGCGGCAGGGCGCGGAGCGCGGCAGGGCACGGCGTTGTGCAAAAGGCGAGGAAAGGTGCCCCCGGTCGAAGGAGGAGGAGGCCGACGAGGGCGTCGCGTCGGCCGAGGTTTCCTAATGGCTCTTCTCTTATTGGCCGAGCCGCAGCCAGCACCGCCAGCACCGCCAGCGAGAGCCCAGACTGCGCTCACATGCGGCCCTCCGGCCCTGCCTCGGCCCTGCCCCGCCCTGCCCCGCCCTGCCCCCGCCCTGCGGCCCAGACCGTATTGAGATTTAAATCCTCGAGGTTACGACGCAAGTGACCCCATTTGCCGCAACGGTCACCATAGGGCCGACCGCGCCGACGCGCCGCAATGCGCGTTCGGGGCGCTGCTGCCGCTGCTGCCGCTGCTGGAGTGCGAGAGTGCGTTCGCCGGGAGGCCGAAAATATCCCCGCGAAAGGGGTACTTGGCCTAGGCTAGGCCATAGGCCCTCCGCTCCTGAATGGCCCTTCAGTTGCCGCGAAGGGCCCCAACTTGCCAATCAGGCCGGCCCGTTCCGTTTTTGCGCGGCAAGTTCAAAACGAAGCCCCTCTTCGGGCGGTGCGTGCTCCAAAAGCCCCAAAGTTGCCTCCGTCCCGGTCCAGGCGGGTCCAGCCTGAGCGCCGCACACTTTCACGGATGGTTGGAGTACTGGAGCAATGCTGTGGCCGGCCATGGGCTGGCATGGGCTGGCGTTGGGGCGGGGCGGCTACAGCCTCGGCTACAGCCATGCCGCTCCGGGCAGGCCGGGGCCAAAACGAAGGCAAAGGCGAAAAAGGAGCAAGAGACGGTCTGGCTCTTTCATTGAGAAAATTAGAGGCGGGTCCCTTGGACCGAGCGGAGCGGCGCAGTCAGGTGAGCCGTGCCTTACGCCCCTCCCAGCAACACTTGGCCAGACGGAGAGAAAGAGGAGAGGGGGCCGGGTTCGAATACTCGGAGTCTGGCGACTCTTTCTCCGCCGCGTCGTGACTGCGCGCTGCGCGGGGCCACCGCCACGTGGGCCGCAGCCTGGGGGTGGACACCAGGACCGCGTCCTGACCACTCACGTGTCCACTGCTCGCCGCGGCTCGCCGCACGGCGGCAAAGTTTGATCAAACTCGGCGGGGATGCAGTCTGTCCTGTCGTCCTGTGCGGACATGGCTGAAACCACGAGACCGCCGCCGCGCCGCCCGCCTCGCCTTCCCGGCCGGCGGGCCGGCAGGGCTTCCCTCTCGTCCTCGTCCCTCGTCGCGTCTGGCTGGTACTGGCACCGCCTGCCGGCCGACCGGCACGGCGCTAGCCGTCGCCCGCCGCGGGACTTTGCCCCATGAATCCGCAAGCGCCTTGCCTCCTCCTCCTTCTTCTTCTTCTCCTCGATGTCCGCATCAATTTTTATCCCGTCTCCCTCCAGCGTGCGCGGTTTATGCCTGCGCGGAGAAATCGAACGACGAAGCCATGCCGACGGCTTGGTCGCCTCGCCGGTCGCCGTCATGCAGGCCGTCTTTATTACTGTCACGCTCAATGCGTTAGCGCGGTGGCGGCGGTGGCGTTAGCGCGGCCCTTTTACGAGTGGACACACACACACTCGCGTGTCAAAGGAAAGGCGGCGGTGGCGCGGCGTGGCGCTACGGCGCTACCGACCCGCATCTGCATGAGTGGATGCAGGTCAGCGTCGTCGTCGTATGGCTTGGCTTGCGCGCGCCGCGCGCACAACAAGAAGAGTATTGCCTACTTGACGCGTTGCATCGGGGCCGCCGGGGCGCTCGGCTGGGCTGCGCCATGGCTGTGCCTGCCGAGCGATTCAGAGGAGTCGTTTCGTCGCTCTGTCTCTGTCGCACTTGTTGAGCTCTCCTTACGCGTGCGACAGGGACAGAGCGACAACCTGATGTTCTGAACCGCTCCGCGCGGCATTGTGCTGGGGGCGCTATGCGCTGCTCGGGGGCCCTGTCGCCCTGCCCTGGGGACAAGGCTGACGAGGCTGCCGCCATGCAGCCGCCATGCAGCCGCCATGCAGCCACAGCGGGGACTATGCGGACTATACGTACTGGGCCGCGGCACTTCACTTCTCTCGCAATGCGTGAGCGTGAGTATCGCAACGTGTTCGTCTTAGTCACCAGTTTACGACGCGCCGCGGGCCGCGGGCCTGGTCCGCTCGGGCGCGCTCGGCTCGGCTCGGCCCCTCGGGTCGCGAGGAATGCCAGGGAATAATCGCGCCGGAAGGCCTCGCGCTTCGCGCCTTGCGAGATCCCTCCTTACGAGAGCCAGCGGGCTCATTCCGATCGGTACTCCTGTCGCTGTCTCTCGCGCACTCGTGGGGCGTCCCGTAGGACTGTGAGAGGGACAGCGACTGCTGGTGCGCGCTGCTCGTCGCGTCGCGCGCCGGGCGGGCCCCTAGCGGGCAGGCCACCCACTGCACAGCCGCGCGCTCCGGCTGCCTGCCGCGGCCCGCAGGCGCCCGCCGTGCTGGGGCCCAGCAGTGCAGTGGCACTGGGACCTGGACCTGGGACCGCGCTGCCGCCGCGTGAGGCTCGATGGGACAAGGCACAGGGTTGTCTGGTTTTTAAGGCTGCACTGCTGCACATCGACGAAATGACCGTCTCTTGACGCACATCGTGGTGCGTGGCGTAACCTGCGTGTGAAGTGACGATGAGGGTTGTTGCTCTCGTGCACAAGGCGCCGACAGACGGCCAGGCAGCATCGCTAGATCAGCGAGATTCGTTCAGAGTCCCCCACCCCCTTTCCCCACAATAGGTCATTTCTCGAACCTTTAGTGTTTGAAGCTCGTGGGGCTGAGAATTGCATTCCTTGCCTTTTCGGCTTTAGTGTTTCACTGCGCCTTTTAAATTTTATTTTCAAGGCAGATTATCGTTATTTACCACATAAGTGTTTTCTGTTTACAGATCATATTTTGAGTGTTAGTTGGTAAGCACTAATTTTTATAATATTGATTTAGTTTATTAAAAGATAAGTTTATGTCATTTTTCAGTCACTCAACTTTGTGAGATGTTTTTCATTTTCTCATTTTTAAGTGTGGGTGTTAGTTAGTTCAATGGAGAAGGATAATTGATGAAGCGGTGGTTCACATTACAAATAATTTATTGATCTAAAGAATAATTACTAGTGAATCAAAGTTCACAAGTCTCAAAATAAAATATCGGCAATGAAAAATTAACATATCTTTTAAGTACTTTTCTTACCCAAAGAAAAAAAAGAGAGGTATCCAGTTTAAAATACACTTTGTTTGGATTATCATACGCATTAAAACATTCATAATAAAAATATATGTGAAAGAATTTAGCATGGAACAACTATTATTACTTCTTTGGAGAGATAAATACACTTTTGAGAGGAAACAAACAAAAGTCTTGTATGCGCGATTCCGGTTCATACTACAGACACACAAAACCCTGATTGTGAAAAGGAAATCAAAAGTCGGATGAGCAAACAAGAGGGGGAGGGGGAGACAAACAGGGGAGGAAACGAAATACAGCCTGAGCGTGCGAGGGGTGGGGGCCGCACAGAGGGACTTCCCTGCCGGCGTGGGCCTTGCCGCGGGCCGCGCGACGCGCTTCGCGGCCTCCACCTGGAAGGTGACGCACGAAGCCCGCCGCCCGGTCCGAGAGGCCGAGAGGCCGAGACTCTGGTCCGGCCGCGCCGAAGCCAGCGCCACGCCACTCCCTGATAAATGCTTCCCGGCAGCGGAGACAGGGCGGGCAGGGCAGGGCACCACCTCCTCGTCGCGGCCATGGCACGGCCATGGCGCGGCCGGCACGGTGCGCGGGGTGAGTACAGGCGAGGGAGGGGATCATCCTGCCCTGGAATGCTGCTTCCTGGCTTTGTCTTTTTGAGCAAATCGGGTTTCTTTTTTTTTTTTTTTTGGTTCGCAGGCAGGAGGGAGAACAGGAGCGGCCCCGCGCCCCTCAACGCAACATTTAAACAATAAAATTAAATAAAAGATTCAATAACAGTCCAGATGATTTAACTAGTGTTTTGATCTTATGGAGCAAGGTGAACATCACTAGAAACCATTTTTCACACAAACAAAACAAAAATTAACGATTATTAAATATCAAGAAGTATAAAAACGCGCCAAATACAGATCACGAGCCAGACAAATAATAATTGCTCAAAGCTCTACAAATACGAAATTACAAAAGTGATGACGGTTAAGTGTTCACTATCGAACACAAGAAACTGCTAAGACTGATACACCAAAGAGTTAAAGAATCACATGATACAGAGCACTACTGCGGCAAACACGCACGCGTTTGGTTCCGTTGATACATGTCAGGAACAGCAGGGTAAAATCAGTGCAACACTTAATAAAACATGAGAAGCAGGCAATATGAAGTAACTGTGATTCGAATTTTGAGCTACATAAAAAAACTACAAAGAGTGCAACAGGTGCTGCTAAAGGGAGAGAGACGCCATACGCCAATGAGTGGCCCGCCTCGATGCTGTTGGCACGATTCAATCGGTCGCTACGTCGAGCCGGAACAGGAGACCATTAGTTAACATAAATGCAATTTTAAATCTGTAGTTTCAATCTGTGATAACACATCCAATTTTAATATTTTTTTGTCGATTTTATAACCCGTTTTCAGAACACACGATCAGTCTTTGAAATCACAGTAAGCTTTGATATGGTGTTGAAGAGAGCAAAGAGTGTTACTGCGGAGTTATAATGGCTCGAAACACACCGATTGATTCACACATGGAAAGTAAACAGTAAGTAGAGTTAAACAGATCTTTGTCTTTGGTCTTTGCAATCCGACGCCACCAACACGGCGCCAGAATAAATAGAGAAAATGTGCTTGCCAACAGCATCCGTCTCATTCCCCACAGGCTAACAATCAGGCATGGCACATCCTTCGAAATTCTTAATGGGTTTTGGGGCAAGAAACCTTCATACAAAAATGCAGGTAAACTAGAGCAGGAAACATGACAAAATAATAATAACCTAGCATAATTCATCTACGTTAACCTTTGGCAGACTTGTCTCACGACTTAAAATTTTAAAGTATACGTTTGAAGCGACTTGTGCTGGGCAGACCAGCCGGAACCAGTCTGCCGCTGCCATGAGGCTGTGTCCCGGTCCTGCCATGCAGGCACGAGACACTGGCCCAGCCCTGCCCGGCAAGGGCGTCTAGAAAGGCACGCAAACAAATTTCACTAGAATCAACATTTAACAAACTCGTCACAATTCAAAAACTTACAGGCGACGAAAAACCTGTGCCATGATCAGACAATTGAATTTACAGTTCCAATTTATTTAAAAATCACAATAGAAACCAAATGATGCATGGTCATTAAAATCAAATTTGACTACCCCAGCGTCCAGGCCGGAGGAACACTGCGTGCGCTTGCTAGACACCCTCTCTTTCCGTTCCCCGACGAGGGCGCCCCAAAATGCTAAGATTTCCGAAGCACTGCACCCATACATCCACTCACTCATTCTCACATGGAAAACACTATATAGAAATTTCTTTATTATAATAAGTATATAAATATCTCAATGAGCATGTTTTTAAATCTTTGCTTCTACCGATACTACAGGCCCGACTGCTGAGGTGCCTTCAAGTAATCTAATTATTGCTTAAAAATTCAAATTATTGGGTTTTTCATTGATTTAGCGGCAATCATTGTCTAACAGTCAGGCTTCGACTGATGAAGTACTAATTTCCAGCCAGCACCCCCAGCAGTTTGACCGCCTGTTGGAGCGGGCCTCTGCCGACGTACTTCCATTCATTTATTTTTACATCAAAAACACATACATTAGGCCTGGACCTCAAGAGAGTTGCACCTTTCAGTCAGAATAGTCGGCAAGGCTATCTGGGCCCCGAAAGCGAGCTCACTAACCAACAAAGTCTATTTGCGTTATATTCTTTCATATAGATTCCAAGGAGGGCAAGGGAAAGGATTTTCCTTGTCAAAGTTTTAAATAGAAAAAACTAATTCAACATACAATATTATTAATTTTTTTTTTTCGATTACAGGATTTTGTTGAAAAAGAACAATATTAAAACTACAAAGTAGTGTCAAAAGTAGAAACCATCCACAACTACTTATGATCGGTGATTATTGCAGTGGTAGTTAGTTCCACAGATAGAGAACATCATAGAGAACATCAGGCGGCCGCCGCGCCAGCAGAGATCTAGCCTCCAGGAAGACAACTAGACTATCACTCAGTAGAAAAAAAAGGATTCATACTCACGGTTGACGCACTCGCAAAGAAACAAAAAGACACTCACTCAGGGCCTTTCTTTTGAGCAGACTAACATAAAAATAATATTTTATCATTTTTATAGCTACATTGTATATTTATATATATATAATATATAGTTTGATAATATATATATAGGGTCATAATAAAATAGAAAACACTATACTAGAACTCTTTAAGTTGTGCAAACTTGACAAGGAAGAATGAAACGGTTTTAAAATACCCACAAGGGGCATCTTTATACGATAAAAAAAGGGATAGAAGTAACAGAATATCAGCCAGTTTCCTGACTGACTATTGCTTTAAATATTCATTTTGATGCAACATTAATTAAACTAATAATATAGTGCCACAAATAATTTGCTGATGCCAAACAAAGAGGGAATCTGACTTGTGCAAGGCTATATGGCGGGCTTTGCTTCGATCAGGGCTCGTCAAATCAATTTCAAAATAAAGTCACACCCCAATGTGTGACTTACAGTAAACAGTCTTTCAATCATTTAAGTGACGAGCAATCCCTTTGAAAATATAAATAGCAAGGACTTTTAAAACATTGTTTCAGCATGTGGGTATGAGTCCACACAATATGAAATGGAGTTAAGTACGTAGTTATGAATAGCTTAAAACATATTTACAAAATGAGCTATTTTGAAAATGTAAAAAAATAAAATGAAAAATCTTAGTATTTTACAAACTAAATAATGAACTTTTAATACTTTTCGCTATTGTTGTGACTATAGTCTACGATAAATTACAGCTAAACAGAGGCTATAGAAAAAAATACAATCTAATATATGAACATCGATCAATAAAGTCGAACAGAAGAAACAATACTGAACTCAATGAGGCATTCAACTCTTAGTCGAACCAGAGAAAAGGGCATTCCGTTTAAGGTAAAAAAATAATATATCTTATCGTAATCATTAATCAGACACAGTTTTCCTGGCGATCTGGGGCCCACAGGCTTTTGACTGTGGGGACCGAGGGACATTTCTGATTTGGAGAGGATAGAAAATAAAATTGAGCATAACCTGAAATAAATTAAAAATAACCAATCAACAAAAAACCAAGAAACTAAGAGCCTAGCCAATTGTGTCCTGCCCAAAGAACTAGTGCCCGAGAGAGCAAAGAAGGGAGTGGCGTCAACTGTTGTCATTAGAGCGCCTCCGGCTTATTACTCAGCTTTATTACTAGGGAATAATAATTTATTAAAACTCTTATTATCAATAACTTATATGCATATATCACACACAAACAGAAACAAACAACAGATACCAACAACATGGATATGTCTCATTACTCTAAAACATCCAGACAACAACAAGGAATGGTCACCCCACTGCTATTCGCTGTGGCTAGGATTGACAAATTAAGATAGGTACCTACAATAAACAGTCAAATCACAAGCTTATTTGAATATTTTTTGTCTTGTCTTTAGAGTTTGCCCCCCTGTGGCCAGTCTGACAATTGTGGCAGCACCACTGTGCGCAGCCGTTGGCAGTTTTCAGAATCACAGCCGGGAGAGTCGGTACCTCATCCTCTGGCCGCCTAAGAGCTGACACTATAAATATTTTCCATAATTTGTAATTAAATACATAAACAATTTACATTCTGCAGGCCTCATCCCACACAAAAAACTCTACAAGAAATAAAAGAAAATCTCAGTAGTAGAGATAGTCTAGTCAACATGTTTTGTTATAGGTATTCTTTCATATTGGTTAAATACTCATACATACACACTTACACAAAATACAAAATTCTTAAATCTTGTTAAAATATCTCATAGTAGATAGATAATATATTAAGTATCTCTCGTTCTGAATGTTCAAATTCAAATGATCCACTCCGCTCCTTGTGGGGTTGGAAAGTGGCACTATAGCACGAGTAGCTACAATGTCAACGTTTGAAATAAATTTTCATAGTGCGTACTGTACGACAAACAAAAAGAAACTAAAACATTCAAACAGTCTTTATAACAGAACATAAAAATTTAAATACTCTTCATGTCGTAAATAATTTAAAAAGAAAAAAGAGAAAAATAAGAGAAAGGCGACTTAGGAGCGGATGCGGATTGCCTGGCAGACCGTTTGCTGGCACTGCGGGCAGTTGGACTCTGAGGAGTCGCACACGCCGTTGGCGCACTCCATGCAGAACAGGTTGTGGCCACAGGGCACCAGGGCTGCGACCACCTCGCGCTCACCGCACACCATGCAGTCGCGCTTCGTGGGGGAGTTGCGGCCGTGGCCCAGGATGCCGCCGAGGCTCCCCAGGGAGTGCAGGGACTCGGTGGGGGAGGCCGAGTGGGACGGCGATGGCCGGGACACCAGGTCGGTGCCGAGGGGCGTGCCCAAGTTGGCAGAGGCGGTCGTCGACGCCGCCTGGAACGACCAGATATTGGAACTGGGCATGGCACTTTCAAAAGAGGGCGACTCGCCCAGACCCTCGTCGCGGTCCACGCTGCTGCTGTTCCAGATGTTGACCAAGTCGTTGAGGCGGCCGCTGCCGCCGCCGGTCGAGCCGGACGAAGAGCTAGAGCAAGAGCCGGCCGACGAGAAGGCACCCGAGCTGCCCGTCGAGCTGGTCAGGCCAGCGAAGGACACCACACCGCCCTCGGTGCTGGCGTTGTTCATGAGGCTGTTGAGGCTGTTCAGATTGCTGGGCTCCAGGGTGTTGAACAGGTTGTTCAAGCCTGGGGAGGAGTACAGGGACGTCAGCATATCTGTCGAGTCCTCAAAGAGTTCTGTGCCCATGGAGCCCGAAGCACCGGTACGCACTGCGATATGGGCCTCGATCTGCCGCCTGGCCGCGTCCACGGACTCGGGCAGCCCGGTCACCTCAAAGACGGGCTCCTTGTCCCTGGATGGTGTCACGATGTACGTGGAGGTCTGGTGCTGGATGCGCTTGATCGTGGCGCCCTTGGGGCCGACCACCAGGCCTACGACGCGGTAGGGGACGCGCACTTGGATGGTCACCTGGCCGGGGACGTGTGACGGCGGGCCAGGGGGCGACAGCGAACCGGCAGAGCCGCCCAGACCCGAAAGGTTGTTCTTGCGCGAAGCGCGAATCTGAGAGAAATGTTCGGCGGCAGACAAGATCTCACGCTTGGCCTTGGCGACGTCCTCCTTGCGGCCGGTCACCACGAACACTGGCTCCTCGCCGCGGACCGGCGTCTTGATGTACGTGTTGGTCTTGGCGCGGAGAGCCTTGATCTTGCAGCCTGCAACACACAACGGCCAACCATTAGACACACACTCGCTAGTCTCGCTGGCACGTCCTTGGACCGGACCGTGGCGTGCACGGCGTGCACGGCGTGCAGGGCGAGCCGGACGGAGCGGGCCGGCCAGGTAGCGGCCAAGGCGGTGCCGAGGCAAAGGCGGACAAAGGGAGGGACTCCGGGGACCGTCATTGAGTGGGGCCGGATCGCAAACCACTTGGCCGCGAAGACGCCGCGACGGCAGCGCGGCCGACAGACCTAGAGACGGCAGGGCAGGATGCTGTGCCGGCTGCACCACCGCGCTGCACCGCGCCGTGACGCGCCGGCCCAAACATTTCAGACACGGAACACGTGGCCCGCCTCGGCCGCCTCGGCCCGCCTCGCTTGCCTGGGGCGTGCGTCTGGCGCTGCGGCAAGGCGCTGCACAGACCACGTGGGAGGGTTGAAGAGGGAACAGCAGACGAAAAAGCCACCACGCCGCGTCGCCGCCGTGCCAAAGAACACATGGCACGGCGCCCGCAAACCAACCCGGGTTCGAATCCCCGCGGCGGCGAGCCACCTCGGCTCACTTTCGCCACGGCTTCGGGCGAGCATACGAATCGAGCCGTCGGGCGACGGACAGCAGCGCCGCGAAAACCGCCAATCGGGCAAGGCAGGCAAGGCGCAATGCAATACCATTATTGTTCCAAAGGACCCCGCTCCGTTCCGAGAAGCCAAAGCCCAGCCCATGGCCCAGCCCCAGCAGCGCTATGCCGCGGCACGGCTCAAAGTTCCCACGCCTTTTTGGTCGCAACGGGTACCACTGGGTCCTACCACAGACGGCCGCAGCTGCTCTCTGCAAGTCGAGGTTTTTCGGTCGACAAACCCAACCGAGCAGAGCGAGCGAGCGAGCCACGGACAAACAACCCAGGACTGCGTCATACGCATGGTGGGGCAGAGGCAGGGGGAGGAGGCGGTGGAGGGGAGGGGGCAGAGGATCGAAGAGAGCAAGTTGCTGCACACAAATCACCGTGCGCTTTTGTTCGCACATCCACGGGGCACTGTCGACTCATTCCGAGGGCGGTCTCTCTCGCACCCACGGCGCGTCCCTTGTCGGTGCGAGAGAGACAGGGCGACGAAAACGCCTCTCGGAATCAGTGTGCTGGCTCCACTGGCTCGGCTGCATCGGATGGGTGGATAACAAGAAGGGCCTTGTCCGTCACACATCGCGACGCGTCGCGACGAATGCAGCGAACCCACCACGACGCGGCCACGCGGGGCCACGCGGGGCAGCGCAGCGCAGCGCCAAAGCGGCGCTGGACGAGGCTGGCGGCGACGCATCCTGTGTTCTTGCACTTGGTCTTGAGGTGGTCTCCGGCCGCCACCTCCACCGCGCCACGCCGCGCAGCGCGCAGCGCCCGGCGGGGGAAGCTCACGGCCGAACTCCGTCTGGGTGCCCCGCCCCGCCCCGCGCTCTCATCACTCTCACTCTCTCTCTTTCTCTGTCGCTCCCAGCGTTACATCAGGGCCGAACGGGTTCCCCTTGACAACGATGAGGGTGTTACACGGGCATTAGACGCCATTCACGGCGCCCATTCAGGGCGCGCTATGCGCGATGCGCGAGAAGTCCCCAAATCGCCCATTTTTAGCCGGGCACACAACACGCCGTCTGGGCTGGCCACCGCGCCGCCATGGACGCCTCCTTTGCGCCATTGACCGTCCGAGTGGCCGCCGCGCCGCCGCGCCGCCGTGCCGCGACCGCCCAAGCATTTCCCAGACCATGACGGAGGCCGCCGTCGTACTGTACACTGTAGCAACGAAAGGAGAGCAGCGAATTAGCGGGCTTTGGGGGTCAACGTCGCGGCCGCCGTGCCATGCCGCACATGCGCCCGGTGCAACCACGCCACCATCTTCTGCTTGCAGCAGAAGAACACAGTCCGACCAAAAAGTCAACGGCCGCGGACGAGAGCAGCGCAGCCCAGCGCAGCGTCCAAAACGAGAAAAACAAAAGAATGATTTTGTCAAGGCCGCCGGGCTGCGGCACGGCTGCGGCGCGCCACGCCAGGCCCGGCCATCCAGCGGGCCAACAGCATCGCAAGGAGCACCACAGACCACCTGCCGCACGCCCGCCGCGCCGCAACGCCGCGCCGCCACGCCGGCCACGGCTGCGGGGCCCAAACTCTGCAATTTGATTCGGGCGGAGGAAACCCAATGAGGGAAGGGGGAAGGGAGGGAGGGGGGGGGCGAAAAAAACAAAAACAAATAAAAGATAATGTGGTCGGCGGCACGAGATCAACATGTGAAGCGATTCTTTCATGAATTCCTCCCAACATCCCATAAACTGGGAGTCGCCCTCTGCCAGGGCACCAGCCTACAGCAGCCTACAGCAGGTGGCGGACAGGTCGGGGAAGGTTGGGGAGTAGTTAATAAAGGGATGGAGTAATATGCGGGCCGAACAAGTGTGTGTGTGTGTGCGTGCGAGGATGCCCTTGCGGCGCCCAGTCGCTACAGGTTGGGCTGCGCGCTGCGCGGCCACGCGGCTGCGGGCCCTCATGACACATACGGGCCCTATCGGCACTATCGGCGCCGCAGCCTCCACGCGTTCGTCTCCATGACTAATTTGAGCTGCTCTACATTTCGAGAGGAAGAGGGGTACGGCCACGTGTTGGTGCGCGGCGGCGGCGGCGGCGGGGCTCCGTGGGCCGTGCAGGCCGTAGGTAGTGCATGGGCCTTAGGGCCGTGCCTGCCGCCTGCGCCAGAAATAGCCCTCCGCCATGATGCCGTCTCTAAATCCGTCTCTCTCGCGCGCTCTCTCTCTCTCTCTTCCAGGCGAGAGCACGTCAATCAGATCGAACAAGGGGGAGGGGCAAATCAAATGCTTCCGAGCGCCGCCGACACTGAGGAAAACTCGAGAGAAATGGACGGGGCGAGGCTGCGGGGCTGCGGGGCTGCGGGGGCGGGGCGGGCTGCGGGTCCACTCGACCGTCGCGCCGGTCGTCGTCGGCCAGGTAGTGCCGAGTGCCGCAGTCCCGCAGTGCAGGCACAAGAGCAGCGAGCGAAGCGCGCGACCAAATTTCTCGCCGAAAATAAAAAACAAACTCGCGTCAAGTCCGTATGCAGCCGCCGGGATAGAGTGCGTGATGAACGCGCTGGCCGGCATCACACCTCCAATTGCCCGTCCCGCCCACGCCCCGCGGCCAGAGGGAGAAATCGAGGGGGTGATACCGATCGGAATGCCAAAGGCTCCGGTCCGAGAGGCCGAGCAGTTCGACAACAGTCCGAACCACCACACACGGCCGAGGTTCATTCCACCCCCGCGCGCCAAGTGCGACACAACAATCCCAAATATTTTAGCTGTGGCTCCGACCAGAGCCGTCCGGACCAAAAAGCCGGCCTGCGGGCCGCTCGGTCCCAAGGGCCCTGGGCCTGGGGGGCCTGGGGGGCCCTCTCCGGGCCGCGTCGGGGCCCCAGCAGGTAAAGACCCCAAGTGCTGCAGCCACCGCCGCAGCAACATTCGCAACACTCAAGGCTGCTGTAATGAGAAGGACACTATCTCCACCCATCTGCTCTCCACTCGAGGGCCTCGGCTCAGCTCGGCTCGGCTCGGCTCGGCACACTGGGGGTGAAAGGACCGCGACGCGGCCATTGTGCATTTACACCCACTCGGCCATAAACCCCCCCAACCCGTATTCACTGCAGTGCCCCCCACCCCCACCCCCTCAGGAATCCCTCAACAAGCACAGCGGCCTGACAGACCTCATTGGCCGCGCACTTTGTTTGGGCCGACAACAAGAAGGAACAAGAAATGGGTTGCTGAGGGGAAACAAGAGCCTCCAGCGAGCGCGGCATGGCGGGGCGTGGCGGCGCGTAGCGGGCGGGGGCAACACACCCTCAATTCGCTCTGCCCCACTTGCAGGCCTCGCAGCGAGCACAGCGAGCCCCGCGCGACAATTCGCTGCCCCATCGCGCTGCCGTGCCCTCAAGAGTCAAAGACCAGCCAGCAAGAGGGGCCGGGCCAGCCCGGGGCCGCCAGGGCCGAAGCCCAGGACAAATCAACTAATTCGTTTAAAGCTCATCACGTCGCTAAGCAGGCCATGTCCCCTTCTCTCGGTGCCTCCCCCTCCCGCGCCTCTCCAACGATATCGACCCTCGGCCCTCTCGGCCCGCTACGACGAGCACCTCGCTAATGTCGTTAGTGGCTAGACAGGGGAAGGGGCCGAAGGGCGGCACTTGATTTCGCAGTGCACCACGCCGCGGGGCGGGGGGACCAGGATAGCACCGAGCGAGCCGGCCCGCCGGCCTGCGCCGCGCAGGGCGACGAACCGCCAGGACCAGGAGGGCGTTGTGGCGGGGCGGGGCGGGGCGGGGCGGCCCACGGCCCGGGCCCCGCGAGCGGCAACGTGCCCGCTGCCCGCGCAGGAAGCAGCGGCATCAAAACAATTGCGCCCACAATTCAACACAATTTCAAGTTTCCGGCGGCCCGCGGCCCGCGGCCACGGCGGCGGAAGGGTCGCCAAAGGCGGCCGAAGGGCCCCCGAGGGCCCCGAAGGACCGGACACCGCCTTGACTCGCCGCCGTGCACTTGCGGGGCTTGAAGGCGGCGCGGCCGGGCGCGGCCGGGCGCGGCCGGGCGCGGCGGCGCGTTGACGAGGAAGTGGCACCGGCCGGGCTGACAGCGGCAGCCCCGCCGACACCGCCCCATGCGTGAGCGCCGCACCGCCGCGCCGCCGGGGCGGCCACCGGCCCTGCCGTCTTGGAAACGCTCCAAATTTGACTAATTCTGGCACACAGCCGCCTCGCGCGCGCCGAGCGGCACGCCGCAGGCCGCAGCGGCCCAGGGGCACCACGGCGGCGACGTGCACGGTGCAGCGGTGCAGGCGGTGCAGGCCCTCCCCCGTCCCGTCGTCCCGTCCCACCAGGCGACCTTCCCTCGGCCCGTCGGCACCGACGCACCGCGCCCCGCCGCGCACCGCCACGCCACAGATGTAGGAATCCCTCCTCCCCACATGCGGCCCATCTGCGTC